AGGAGTTATGACTTCAAAGACTTGGAGCAGAGTTGTTCTAACTTTCTTGATGACAGATTGACAGCTCAAAAATGGACTTACAGATCTCAGGAGTATCACATGCTCAAATTGTATAATATCACGGGTATATAAAAGAGAAACAGCTAGGACAAACAGGTGGTGCGGGCAGAGCAAGAATTCAGGGAACATTTTAGTTATGTTTTGTTCACGGTTAAGTTGTACTTTGACCGACTTGCTTATACAAGAATGGATTCAGTTAGCACATGACATTGTGTTGGTTAAGATTTAGTTTGGTCTCTAGTATTGCAGGACACGGGTTGGCCACCTCAGTCAGATGATTGCTTCAAACACCAGACCGTGTGTTTCTGGTAAAAGACATGACTTGGTTAAGCAGATGACTTGCATCCTTCGGTATTAGAGTTTAGAAAGGCCACCAACCATTTCATCTAATGACAAAATCCAAAGGAGAAAATGATGGTGGTTTGATAGATGCAAGACAGGAGAAAGGAGAGTATGGTACTCAACATGTCATACTGGACTTGAATATCTATTCTCACAATAGACAGTACAAGGGAGTGAAGAACAACTACGTGCTTAAGTTCATTTTTCTTAATACAACAAATCATTGTCATACATGCGCGATTTCAATTTCGTGTTAGTCTTCAAGATCAAAGAACGTTAAAGTGGGAAATTAACAAATCTAGCAGGGTTCAGGTACGTCTCAAATGAAATCTCAGACACCAATGGCCATCAAATTGATGGTAGTGCTTGGGTTTTACATACTTCTGAAAGAAGACCTGCTTCATCTTCCTTTTCCTGAATGAAGATTTCAGTTGGTTCCAGGCATCCTCTCAGTGTGCCATGCCCAAGTTGTGCACGCTCATTATCTCCAAACCCAAATAGCCTTCCCTTGTGAGTGACCACAACTGTGTGGTACAGACCTGTGCTAATCTGGGAAACACAGAGGCCTCTCAAACTGTCAAGGATTCGAGGCCGCATTACTTTATCAAGTATCCCCCTAAATCCAAGGCTACCAAACCCCATCCATCCACAGCCATACACAGAGCCACCGTCAACTAGAACAAAGGTTTTCCTCTTTTTTGCACAAACCTAGAAAAAAAAAAAAAAGTGGATGCATGGTCATTACATGGATAAACTGTCTCAAATAGGAAAGGGAGCAACGAAGACTGCCACGCAGGTTCATCCATACACAACTACCCAAGGGAGAAGCATGACATACAATTACGCAAATCAACTCAATTTTTGTCATAAACACAGATGGTTCATGTACATAACAACATGCAATGGAAGGAAAAAAGCATCAGATATATTTGATAAAAAGAATTTGAGGTACCATAGGTCCAACTTTCCCCTGACAATTTCATTTTAGTTCACAGTTTAAAAAGCTTGGAAGAACGACGATTTCAGTTTCCCATATAACAAGCTATTGACTGAATCCTAACCCCACCTTCAAACCCATCCAAAAGTTACAAGAATGGATGGAATGATTAAATTGTATAATTTATTATACTCGAAAAATTTGGACCAAAGCAAAAATCGTTCTTAAACATAAAATGGATGGACAAAACCAACCTGAATGGCTGCTTGGGTCTTAAGGCTGCTCAATAGTTCTGGAAGGGTCTTATCAATCTCATCTCCATGGCCTAATGCACCACAATAACCTTTTCCCCAAGTATATACCTAAAATCACCATAAAATGTTATTAAGCTTGAAGAACCAAGAATGATCAAGAAAATTTTAGTTAAAATGCAGAGACTAACATATCCACTGGAATCAAGTGCCACTGCATGCTCATCACCAGCAGAAACATGAACCACATGAATACCCTTTCTTCTAAATGTCTGAACCATGCGTGGCTGGAACTCATTATGTTGCTCCCCGTGACCAAGACAAAAATTAGAACCAGAACCAAAAGAGTAAAGTGCTCCATTGTTAACAACTGCAAATACATAACTTGGACCAGCAGCAATCTGGACCACGGAGCCAACTCCCAGAAGCAGTTCAATGATTTTGGGGGTTGGCCTGTCTAGCGTGTCACCATGACCCAGCTGGCCATGTGTGTTAGTCCCACATGAATAGACATGACCTTGTTTGGTTAGGAACACAGTAAAATTAAGTCCTGCAGCAACCTGAAACAAGTTCTAACTTATAAGTGCCATACATAAAATTATTCTAAGAACAAATAAGCACTTGTTAGGCAATTTCCTTTTATGGTACTGGTGGGGCAATGTTAATAATTGAAATTCTGGATAGATGAAGATGCAACAACTTCATAATATGTTCAAAATATCGACAGCCATTAAATGAAGACTCAATATATCATAAGCAACTTGAATTTCAAGGGACTAAACCCTCATCACCAACAGGATTACGCAACAAAGTCAATGCAAACTACTACATAAGCTTCACTTATTATGGATTCCTAATTACAAGATTTCACCACTCGGAAGCAAAGGTATTAACTTCACCTGTTTACAAGGAACTTCTTTCAATGCTTCAACAAGCCTTGGTCTAAAAATAGGGCGGCTTGTATCTTTGTGGCCACAACAAAAAGATGAATTGTCTCCACACGTGAAAACCTGCATCAGTAATTGGAAACACATAAAACTGTGTCAACTACCTAATAAGATAACCACAAAAGTATTTTGATGCTGGCTGAGTACACTATATACACATAACAAATTTTTCACCACATGGGAAGTCAGGCAAAAAATTATAAAGGTTATTTGCATCCTCTCATCAAAGAATAATATCCATGTGCCATTTTATAGAGAAGCCAGGCAGAAATAACTTATTTAAGAAAGATCTCTAAACAACATCAAACTGAGTTATGCTAAACTGAGAAAAACAGCTAAGGCCCACACCCCACCCCACCCCCCCCCCCCCCCCCCCCAAAAAAAAAAGAGGGAAAAACACTGAGAAAAACAGCTCATTCATGCAAGATGAGCAACAAACCTCTCCAGACTGTAAAACAAAAGCAGCATGATTATGAGAAGCTGACACTTGGACCACAGGAGCTGAAGATGGGAAGCTAAGCCTGGTGAATTCTACACATTGTGTTGTTCCAGGACCATGTCCAAGCACACCACACAAACTGGAACCACAAGAGTACACTGATGAATTGCTAATTAACAATGTGTGATACCTTCCAGTTGTTATCTGCATCTGGTGAATCAAATAGATTAAGAGTATTAATTCAAAAGATTCATAAGGTTCATTAATTCAAAAGTAATAGTAAGTGTAAATGTAGTACATTGCCTGCTGAAGTCTCGACCATAGCTGATGACTGTAACACAGACTGCAAAAACCTTAAAACTCTTTTCCAATTCCCATTACACCGATCAAATAGCTCCTTCTGGGCAGTCAAACTCATTCCAACAAAGATAACATGTGATGCACAAAGTTGAAATGCTGCAAAATCAGCGAGGGACCTAAACTTAAGAGGGTACATTGCCTGGCTCCCTCCAAACATCCTAGAAGTCAACTCCAAACACACAAGATCAACGGCACTAAGCCTGCCTGATATCAGAATCTCCAAAACCAAATGTGACGGCAATTCCTCTATGGACACCAACCTGTAACGGTCTCCCATTTTGCTCAAATTCTCACTCACTCACCACAAGCACAAAGGAAAACCCAATATTTTTTACAACTTCAAATCTAATTTTCAGTTTGTATACAACCTGAAGAAGCCCAATTGACACACTGAATTAACTCTCATTCACTAAAGTCCTTGAAAGCAAGATACTTTAACCCCCTAAAACCTGACGTTTATGCTTTAGAAGAAGATCCCAATCATCAGAATAGAGAATTCAAATCAAATATGAATTAGAACCCGAATACAGAGGATCAATGAAACCAATCAAGGCACAAATGTCAAATTTTTAGGCGAAACCTCGAGCAATTAAAGCAACATATAAAGAAGACATCAGATGGGAGGAAAATGTAGGCAATTGAGCACAAAAAGGGGGTTCTAGAAGAAAAATTCAGAGGAATTCGATGCAACAATTGGAAATAAAACATCAGATGGGACAGATCAAACCCTCAAAAACCTTAATTCAATAAGAATTCAGACTCTTACCTCAAACCCCGACTGCAATTCAATAAAAAAAAAAAAAACACACACAAAATTTGAAGCCAATAACACTAGAAAAAGAGAAATTAATCAAACCCAGATAATCAAAATCAAAGCTTTCCCTTTTCTTCTAATCGCTGAAAACCTTACACACAGAAGCAATGATCGGTTCTTTTCGGTGCCGATCTCTCTCTTCCTTTTCACCAAAAAATCGAGAAGTAAGCTGAAAAGTAGTGAAATAATGAAAGAAAAAGCTGGTAAAAAAAAAAAAAAACAAACGTAAAAAGAAATAAAAGAAGAGGATGGCGAGGGGTTTTCCACAGAAAATAAAAAAGTTAGGGTTTTTGATTTCTTTGCAGATAAGCTCTCTCTGTCCCTATTGCTGACTCTGTGTTTATAGTTTCTCTCTCTAAAACTGATTGCAGAGAGAGAAATCAGGGAAACGGAAAACGGAATCTTTCGCGCCGGAAATGGAATCTTCCGTCATGGAGGGGAAAAAGTTGGTCTGGTCTTGGGATTCCACTTAATAATTGTTCCGTAACTTGAAGGGTCTGAGATTATGACACGTGGCAGTTCATGATTTCGCTGCGTGCTACTACCACAACAAGAGGCCCCCCTAACTTCATGACTTGATAAATTAGTGAGTAAATGTTGGTGAGTAAGTTAGATGTAAAATTTAAGTTTTAGTTTTTATATACACCAGCTTTTAGTGGTGGCATAAAAGAATAATAATGAATGAATTTAAAATTTGAGATTAATAATGTAATTTATATTATATTATTTAAAAAATTAAAAAATATATTTTATATTATTTAGTGATTAATTTTTTTTATTTTATAAGATCTATGATAGTATGTATATTAATTCAACCACTTATTAGGAGAGTTGGATTTTTTATAAAAGTTTATGTCGTTAATTTTTGAATTAATTGAAATTTAACATAATTTTTAAATATTAAAATATTAATATAAAAAATTATATATATTAATTAATTTAAAAAAAAAAATTAAAACAAAATCATAAATTTAAAAATTTAATAAAAAATTTTGGAATTTTTATCATTATTCATCATTAAAATACGCAATTGAAAAGGATTTAAACGCCAACGAAATTGTAATAGATAAGTAGCTTGTGATTGGATTTTAAATTTGTTTGATTAAAAATTAAATTAAATTAATTTTAAATAATTTGAATTGCTATTATTAAGTTTAAAAATTAAAAACTTAATTATTAGAATGAATATAACTAAAAAAATTTGAATGAAAAACTTTTTATATAAATATTTTAATGATTTTTAAATTGTTTAAAAGTTTTTAGTACTTTTTATTAAATTATTTATTGAAATAATTCTTAATATTTTAGTGATAGA